GCATGTGTGTAATGTTGTCAATAATCTATCATAACGTTACTCTTGTGATTTGAATATCAATCTTATCACGTACAGCGACGGGTATTATTTCCTAGGGTCATCCAGCACTTGCCAAAACCTCCACACTAGTCCAACTGAGCGTTCAAATTGGACTGTTGTTACCCATCTTGACAACGAAAAATCCATGGGCACGTCATCACGTAAATCTGTACCACGTTACGTCGTATTTGTCAGTTGCATGTCGACTTTCGCATGGCATATCATGACACAATACAATTCACCCCGACAAGAATCTCGTCAAAGTTACGACAGTCAGTCCAACAACCAAACATTCAGCGGCGATTGATTAATATCTGACTTTTCACTTTTCCTTTTACTCTGTGTGCTGCACATGTCGATTCGTATCTGCCAATTCAAAACGTGCACGGCCCCTGCTTCGTATCATGGAAAATGCGACAGCCACCGCATGCGAAGCGGATGCATGGTGAAGCACTGCCCCAACCAAGTGTATGCCCGAAAGCTTTGCGTCAAACACGGAGGCAAGCAGCAGTGCCAAGCCGACGGCTGTGACGCCAATGCACGAAGACACGGGTTCTGCTGCAAGCATGGCCAGAAACCAGTCAAGAAGCCCTGCCTCGTCGAAGGTTGTGTCAAGTTTGCACATTCGCGGCGCTTCTGCGCGGCCCACGGTGGCAGCCGCAAGTGCCGTGTGGACGCTTGCAGCACGTTTGCTCGCACAGATGGTGTATGCCATCGCCACCGGGCCTTGTTGAATGTCCACTGCGACAAAATAGAGCCCCGTGGGGCCGGTGTCAAGTTGGACTCGACGTGCTACGGTGGCATCACGTTCGTTGAAACGTTGGTGTACAGTGGAGAATCGTTGTTCGGTATACTAGTATGTGACAAGGCGTACACCATTGACAGCGTAGACTTGACCACAGAGGATTCCATGATTTTGGATTACTTATTAATGTAAACTGGTGTCGATAACGATGACTCTTTGACCTT